GTTATATCGATTAACAATTAAAACATTTATGTTGTTAGAAAATTATTTTAAGTTCGCCATACTTTAACTAAAGTACTATGTACTTACTCATCCATGCATATCATAAAATTCTAACTGAGCCGAATCTGTGCATTAAATCTTTTTTGGAAAATCTTATTGAAAGTCATTCTTATCGATAGAGAGGCCGAATAATAAGGAGTTTTTAGAATTTATGTGTCTGTCTGTCTATCTATCTGTCTATCTTGTCCGTCATCAAGAGAAAACCACTGGACAGATTGTGATAAAATTTGGTATGATGATAGCTGGTTATCCGGATCAACATATAGGATACTTTTTACTGCGGGAATATATCACTTGACACCTCTGAGAAATCTAAACATAGGTACTACACAATTAATATATAAATATATATCAAAATCAAAATTCAACTTTGATAGAAAATAAGAAGTCATCTACACAATTAGCATTTAGTTAATAAAGGAGCCCTTCTGGGAAAATTAACATTTAATTAAAATATATTTTATGTATGTTTGAAGCGTAACACTTATGATTGTATAACATAAAATAGGGCAAGTAGTTTGATCAATCGATAATCTTAGTCATCGTATTCATTAGGCTAATTAGTAATTAGTGTCTAAGGTAGAGGAGTGGCTCTACTGGCCATCTGTTAGTCTAAATACACTATAGTAAGACGTAATATCTATACATTTCTTAATGAAAATATATCCGTTTTATGTTTATGGGATTTATTTGTAGATATATTATTTTCAGTGTATTGAAAATGTTACAAATTTTGTGTTTTTTATATTGTACATTACTCGATGTACGTATATTATCTACAACTCTATGTTTTCTGATTAAATTAAAATTGTACGTTGTATTAAGAAAAACTAGTAAAAAGCTTACTCTTTCTAAACAAATAAAGGATATAGTTATATTAGATACGTGACTATAAAGCTTTTAACAGAACTTTGACGTGATTAAAACAAATAATACTTTTAAAGAAAATGTAAACAGACTGCAAGACCACTTTAAAGTAATTATTCCACTCTTAGGGGTGGAATGTATATTGTAATTTATATGCGACCATTTGACCACTTTACTTAACTCAGAAGCTTCTTTGAAGTATTTTCTTAATCAATTGCTTCTATTAGTTTTTTATTTTCAATTATATTAAAAAAAAAAATTTTATTTTTTTCTGTTATTATCAATTCTACAATATTAATAAAAATAGGATCAACTCCTTTTCATTTTGAATCGTGGATAGACTTTCATATTCTTATATAAAAATATGAAAATCGATCCACAATTAGAAAAGATACCGACCAACAAAAATGTTTAGATAAATTAAGTAGGTACCTTCCCTTTTTGTAGTTGGTTAAAAATTATGTAAACCATAGGTACTATAAATAGCAAATCGATAAATAAATATTGTATATGAAATATGAATATTAAATCTAGAACATGCGAACTTATAAGCGAGCTATATTTAGTGTATTCAATATGTTTTCCTGCTTCAGATGTGGCACTGAGAATTGATAGATCGGAGGTTAAGGTCGTCTGTGCGTTATTAGGTTATCGAAGATATAGGGACAGAATAAACCGTTTCATAGCTATATTAGATTTATGAAGTATGAATACAGAAATTATAAGACTGACCTTATATCGCAAAGGTAATCGACTGTATGATTTTAATGATGATATTAAATATAAAAATACCTATAATTACTCAATTAAAAAAAATATGAAATCATACAATATGCAAATTTTTTGTGACCGTATATGCATTATATTAAAAAAAAAACAGTCAAACCGGTTATACATAATGCAATAACACTCTATCTTTAATATTAAAATAACGTTATAATTATAGCTTTCCTCAAAACACAAACGACTATTGGAAACATAACTCTTCTGAAGCAGTAAATTATTAATTTTAACGCTACGACGAAGCACTATAATAAGCTTGCAAGACCTAAACGCCAATAAATTTAAACCTGGGCAGAGTAGCGTGTGATTGAGACTTACCCGATCGGAAAAATGACCCTCGAACCCTCTGATCTTTTAATTACACTATATTTTTATAAATAAGGTCAGTTTATATGTTAAGAGATTGGCTCCAAATACGCGACTGCATGGAAGAATGCATGCGTGACTCTGTCGGATAGATTAGATAATGACCATTGGATCGGAGATGCATAGAAATGCGACTGATGCTGATGTACAATTACGGTGACAAGGCTTTGGAACGGAAGTACTCGTACTCGGTCATTTACGAAACAAATGTGTTTGGTTTTTTATGCACTAGCAATAATTGCTTTGCTCGATAATACTGTTATAATTGACGTAATAGTGATGTCAGAATGTGAGTAATAAGGTTTTATTGAGTGATTTTTATCACTTTGACATAACACGGATTACTAGAGCAATTAACTTTAGTTTGAGGATTATGTACAGACACAAAATGTGCTCTAAAAGCTGCATGAAGATTAGTTAAAGAGTATCCATTTATTTTGAATAAATTTAAAGCCTTTTAATAGTAAACTGAAGGCCAATTCAAAAAATGATCAAAAATATTAAAAAGAAAATAGCCTTTCAAACATGGTAACCCCACACAATTTAAATGATTGAAAAGTACTATTTGTAGTCAATTTGCGGAGTATCGGCAAACATATGGTGGTAGAAGTAGGCAACGAATGAATTATGCATTGCCTCGTGGGCTCGATTGATTTGCGTACAATGCGTAGGCTTATCGCTTTGGTATTTGAGGTGTACTATGATTGTATCAAAGGCTTTCTATGGTTAAGTGGGTCAAAGTTGAATGAATTGTTTATATTGATTACGTGTTTTTATTGTTATCCCTTTTGTAATGTGTCGCTTATCATTTAAATATATTTTTTATCATAGTTAAGTTTATATTACTTAAGTAATATTTTAAGAAATGTTTGAGATGAAGTGTGAAATTACTTGTTATTTTTATTAAATACTATATAATAATACCATATAAATATCCCATAGATTATACCATAGTATAATCAACAAATGAGACATATCCCAATCTTTATTAATGAATAGAATTAAATTTTATTGATGAGATGTTACTGTCAGCATATGGATCATTTACCAACACTATATTGACCAAAATTAAAAAAAATTAAAGTACTAGAACTATTTCAGTAATAACTTCCAACATATTACATTACATAGTTACAATTTAATAACAAAATTATTTCAATAAAATTCGTACAATACGCATTTCGATCTCGTTTCAAGTTTCAACAAGATGTTTAATTTATATGGATTTATTGATCGAGTCGTATCGATTAGAATTACAAATCAAGTGGGAGGCCGCATTCATTGGCATTGCGAAATATCAGAAAAATAAGCAATTACTGAGAAAATTGACGTCTGACACTAATATATAATGTGGTACGCATATGAGCATTCGTTCTGTATTGTTATGCATTCTACGAACTGAAAATACCATTTTAAAGAAAGATACCAATAAGGTACAGTTATTATCTATTATATTTTTTAAACTGATTTTTTTAAATCACACAACTGAAATAAATACGGAAGTTTGTATGTTTGTAACTGTACAAAACTTTGCCAAAGAAAGACGCTGCCTATAAAAATTATAAATACGAAAGTCGTTAGTTTCTCATACTTTTAAATTAAAATAAAAAAGTTAGCATTTTCGTTTAGTTTTATCCAGGTGTCAAATAAATATAACAATCTAGATATACTACATAATTTAAATATATAGCTTCCTTAAAATTTCCAAAAGGTAATTTATTTGTTTTTGACAAACATTGACTACTATGAAAGTCTTTTGAGATTTAAGCTAGGAGGGGTCCTTTCTTCGAATAAGGAGAAGAAAAAGTCTAGGTCTAAGGGGTTATGAAACTTAGGAGCCCTAAACGTAAGCCACTTTTATACATACATATACATATATATATATACATTACATATATTGCTCGTTTAAATATATTATAATATGTGGTAGTTTATAAAATGTCCAAATAAAAAGGTCTCCTGACGAGTCACTAAGAATTCGCGAAACTCTTCTTGAAAAATGTTCTCAAATTTCGAGTATTTTAGATATATAAAAACATTAATGAAAACGCGCAAAACCATAACAATCATAATAATCCTGAGTTTGATACCGAAAAAAAAGCTAACAAAAACACAGTTTAACAATAAGTCAAAGACGCCTGTAACACGTCAACAATACTTAACCAGGATTAAATAACGTAACTCGATCGACTTCGTATTACGACTGCTTTGTCAAAACCATGAACCAGCCAAGCATGTAAGCTTACGAAAGTTTCACGAGAATTTAAACTTAAAACCTATGTATTATGGGTTATTTTTGTGTGAGATGTTTTTAGTCATGGAACAAAGCTATAGGGTCTTTATTTTGCAGTTGGCGATTGTCCAGTAGTGAATTTATACACGGTTGGCGGATATCATTAAATTTAGTAGCGCTGTGTTCGGATTTAGATCAAAGTTGAGCGCGCGCAGGAAATAAGCCTTGTCTTGCATAAGGTTTGTAAATTAATTCCATGGGATAATATGCTTGCGATAATAATGAAATATGTTCATAGTGGTTTAAATTGAATTAAACGATCATTACCTACATATTATAATTTAAAAACCTAATCTATACACATTATAAAATTGTAACTAAGCCGAATCTGTACATTAGATATTTTTTGGAAAATCTTATTGAAATAAACATTATTATCACGGTACGGGTCAACATATAGGATAGTTTTTACCGCGGGAAAATTCATTTCTGAGAAACACTACAAAAACTACAATGTAAGACCTATACTAATATGTAAAATCTATGAATTTGGTTTTTGGTCATCTGAACGCGGGCGGAGCCGCGTGCAATGCTAGTTATAATTTAAAAACCTAATATTTAACAAAAATATATAAATTATAGTATATAACTAGAGAACAGTATACACTATACAATGTCTTCCCAATACCTACTCTGTAAAAAAAATATCGCGTTCCACATTAAAATTTCACATCTACATATCTACTCGTATTCTATCTATGTGATATAAATATAGGTTGTATTTTTCCTTCAACACGTGAGTTAATGAACGCCTTTATTTACTCAAATTCTATCTTACATGATTACAATGCTATTTTCGTTACAAACATATTATATTAAAAATAGTATTAACCCTGAAATCATGTAAGTTTATCACTTAGTTTTTTTTTCTAAATAATTTTTAGTTTATCTATAGGTACTCATATTATAAAGAGGCAGAGTTTGTTTGTTAATGTTTGATTGAACGCGCTAATCTCAGGAACTACAAATCCGATTTGAAATTTTTTCATTAGATAGCCCGTTTATTGAGGAAGGCTATAGGCTGTATATCATCATTCTATTACTAAAGGGAACAGAGCAGTAATCATAAATGTCAACAAATCGGGTAGACTTCGGTACATCATTGTAAAACTGATGTTTATAATCAGACAAATTTAACGCGGGTGAAACCGCGGGGCACAGTTCGTCAATTATAAAACTTACTTAACTTAGAATAATCAAAATCTTATAAAACAGTAAGAACAACTCACCGGTATCGCCCACGGCCTGGCTAAGCGTGTTCTCTGTGAGGGGCCGCAGCGCCTCCACTGCGCTGATGTAGCCGAGGCGGTCGGCTATAGCGCACGCTGTCTGACCGTTCTAATTGTACAAATATATTCATATATAAACAAATTATTGACTAAATATAATATAAATATATTTATTTATTTAAGTACCAGAAAAAAAACATAAAGGTGAAAACGAATACCATGTGTACAAAGGATGACTTATCTATTTAAGAGATCTCTACCAGAAACCCTTAAGCGTGAGAAAATATAAAAATAATAATGAGGTGCGGTGTAGGCACAAACATCAATTATAATATAAATATACACATATACAAACATACATACATATATTTTTAGGTTAATAGAAATATTTGACATAGAAATTAAAGTATTTTTACGGATTCTTTCGCGGATTTCCGTCATTTCGAAGGCTTTACACCATACAAGGTCACGGGAGGTACTAAGCTGTTTGATAACACAATTGTCCTAGTTATTAGATACGATGATGTACCTTCATGTAATTACACCGTCGAAAAAATCTGTTAAAATTGTTTTATTTTACGTTACGTGTATTTTAATATTTTTTTTAAGTGGTAATATATCTATTTAACTGAAATATATCTATTATTTTTAAAAATTTTACTGGCATAAAATTTGCAAGAAAAACAACAAAATATTTAATAATTACTTTGTTTTTTGCTCGAACAACTTACTTTTTAAGTTAACAGCTTAGGTACTTATTTATTTGCACTGGGTTCTATTATATTAAACATTAGAATTTAGACGGCCTATAAATTAAATATATCATGCATATTATGTTATAAACAAATTGTTTTGTCATTGGCAATCAGAATACATATACATACATATATGTAAATATGTATTTCCGATGACCTAGAGCACTTTGGCGATAAAAACTTAATATAATTTGCCAATAAATACCAAGGGCAAATAAAATAACGAACTTCCGGTTCCAAAAAAAATACAATATTTAAACTAACCGCAGATAAAGCGTTGGGATCGGCATTGCTCTTGAGTAGTAGTTGTATGATGAGAGTGTGTCCTTGCTGCGCTGCTTGGTGGAGAGGAGTGAACCTGGTGAAAACGTAATTAATATTATTTACTGCTATAATTATTATTTGAGGGGTCAATCTTTTTTATTCTTTTATACGCTTTCTTTATTGTGAGATTAGCGTCTTACTCTCGCTTCACTCGGGTGTGTCTCTAGGTACGTTTTTTTAGTGGAACCCTAATTCTTTTTCTAAAGTAAAAGTAGCCTAAGTTACTCCTTATAACATCAGCTACCTGTCAGTGAAAGTCCCGTCAAAATCGGTCCGCCGTTTTAGAGATACACCGGAACAAACAGACAGAGAAAAATTTGTATTTTATTGTATTTTTCTTATAAGTGCCGTATATAATTTTATATATGCATTTAGTAAAAAGTTGTTACTTTGACATTATAAACAGACACTTTAATTTTATTTATCTGTATAGATATTTAGATACACGCCTACATTTTTTTTTATTTTTCATCTCTTGTATGCGTACCTACTTTAGTGTTTAGACTGTAAAGTAGACTAATACTTCCTAGTTCCTAGCATTCTAGTATACTTACTATAGTATATACTATTTCTTACTAAATACTATAGATTACGAGAAGATATCGCTGTTTATACACAAAAACACATCTGAATTGAGAACCTCTTATTTTTAAGTTGGCTAAAAATCTTTTTTATTGACTTCTAGTAGTCTTTAGAAAAAAAATCTGTATCAGCAATAACTTAGAATATTAAGTAGTTAGTCCATAGAAAATGTTATTATTTCGTCAATTTTATATTGCGAAATATCGCAGTATACAGGTGTTATGATTATAATTGGCTTAGCTTATCTCAATTCACATTAATTTAAACTAATTTAAACAACTGGATCAAGAATCCAGAGTAATATGCGAGGTAGCTAACAAACCGGTGGTAGTAACTTAATGATAAATATTCACTGGCCTGTGTAAATCAGCAATTAAACAGTGAGCACGGGTAATTTTGGGTCGTCAACGAAAATAAATCAATAAATCTTGTTCCTTTTTGTTTTCATTCATATATTTCTTCCTTTAGAATCCTTTCTATTTAAGTTTTCAACGTTTAAAGGGAAAATCATCATATTATTAGCGACACCCTCGCTTCGCTCGGATTCGACCCTAGCATGCTTCCTATTACAAACTTTCATCCCCATTTTCACCCCCAAAAGGGATGATTTCCGGGATAAAAAGTATCCTATGTCCTTTCCAGGGTCTCAAACTATTTACTTACCAAATTTCATCTAAATCGGTTCTGTAGATCCAGAGATTACCCCCTACAACGTCACAAACTCACAAACTTTACGTCTTTATAATAATAGTATAGATAAGTTCTCCTCTTTATAAAACAAGTATTCTTAACCCTAGCCGTATAAATAGTATGTATATTAAAATCGATGTGTATATGTGTGTTCCCTTTGGACTCTAAAATGGCTGCAGCGATTTTGATGAAACTTCCAGGCAATCCTCAGATCAGATCCTGTGAAGTTTGGTAGCGATCAAAAGACGAAGAAGCGAAGCCGCGGGTACTACCAGTTAATGTATGTATATTTTACTATTACAATTAGTTACTAAAACAGTTACTAAAACAATTATACGCAATTTCGCAAATTATTATATGTAGCGACATATAATAATTTGTATGTAAAAATAATATAATTCCAGTTTTATACATTAGTAATGGAATATTTACGATCATTAATAGAGATAAGCTAACTATTAAAATATTTAAATCGTAATTGACAAACCTTACATCATCAATTTCTCATTTGCATTTCAATATCATGTTATAAAAGGAAGGAAAAACGAGACTCCCATTTACTACATCCATATATGTATATCTCTTACTGACTCGTACTAATATATAAATAAAATCAGAGAATAAATGTTTTATTAACATATATTTGGCTGGATTTTTCATTGTACCAAATTACAAATCAAATCAAAATATACTTTGAATAAAATATATTTTAAAAACTTTTACAAATTATATAATAATACAAATCCAATCAGATTATTCTTTTGAATTGAATTTTGTATAAAATTGAAATTAAATGTCAGTATGTAAGTCAGTTCTATTGGAAAGAGCAATTCTTGTATGTGTATATATATATAGTCTGAATCTCGGTAACGGCTCCAACGATTTTCATCAAATTTAGTATACGGGGAGTTGCGGAGGCGATAAATCGATCTAGATTAGTCTTATGTCTGGGAAAACGCGTGTTTTCGAATTTTCATGCGGTTTTCTTGCGTATTATTCCACGCAAATGAAGTGAAGCGATAATTTCACACACTCGGGCATAAGCATCATGGTCAAGCGGCCTCATGGTCGGATACAAAGGTATAATTTATATTTGTTTTTTTTGTATTTATTCAAGTTTTTAGTAAAAAAAAAACTTTACTTTAGGGCAAAAACTCCCAGCGAAGCTCGGTAGCCCAGGTACTACTTATCTTATGGGAGTCTCCATTAAAAGTCCCACATATTTACACCTGCAAAGTATTCCGTGACGGAATACTATGCTTTGCTCACTAATAACAAGACCAAAATTACTCGTCATATATAAGAAAAAATAAAAAAACGTCTCTCTGGTAGTTCGCTTAATAGAAAACGTTATTGAAGCAGTTATATAACAAAACATCTAAACATGTAACGATATTCAATGTCTTGAAGTAGGATAATAGTAATGCTAAATTATATTACTTCTCACGTGGCCCGCACTAATGGGCAACCATAAGAAGCCATAATGGATATAAATCTATTACTTTGAATGCATCACGAGCAGCACGAGTGTATATACATTTCGTATTTAGTTTTCATTAATAATAAACTATACCACACTGTATTAAAACTAATTAAAAACATTCTTCTATATGTATAATAAAATTCTAACTGAGTCGAATCTGTACATAAAATGTTTTTTGAAAAAATTATTGAAATGGTCATTATTATCGATACAGAGGCTGAATGTATAGTTTTTCGAATTTTTGTCTTTCTGCCTGTGACCGCATCACGAGAAACCCACTAGTAATACTAGTAAAGCTGAGTATGGAAATAATACTTTCTTAGATTTACGCAAATATTTGACATCTATAAAGTGTAACTGATCGCTGACTACATGAAAGATATTTGAGAAAAACTATTATTGGGGGTCTTTATAAACGCAATAGAACCCAAAACAATGATTTTAAGAATTTTTGTCGGTTTTTTTGTACGTTTGTGCACGCTAACCTCAGAAACGGCTATACCGACTTGGGCGCGGTATTCATTAATGTTAATAATTGTGGTAAGCTTCACTTAACTTTTAGTATTTGTTTTATTTCAATGGGGTCATAAATAAAATAAGTTATGTCAATTTAAATAATCACCTAGGGCTAAATCCGAGCGATGCGAGGGTGAGTCGCTAGTTTTAAATAAAACTATCTTTTCGAACTTTTTGGCAGACTTATTTTGATTTTTGGTTCCATTATTGTTGTACCGCATTCGCAATGTAGGGAACTAAAAATCAAAAAAAAACCGCCAAAAAATTCGAAAAATTGTTTCGTACAAAATATGCAAAATAACTTCTATATATGGATAAAACTGTATATTGTAAATAATACAAATCATAGATAACACCCAGATACATATAGAGATGCCTTAAGCTTTAACGTTATTGAAGTGGGCGTGGGTTATTGTTAGTATAAATAGTACTACCATCTTTAAATACACGTAACATTTATTCCAAGAATAATATATAACATCATGATAAGTATAATAACACACTATTATGTATAAGACTCGTTAAACGAATCAAACGTCTATCCGCTTCTTGGTTCCACTAATTTAATATCTAAGTAGGTTAATATCGAATTTTAAGATTTGATTACAGTTGCTTTCAAGAAGGTCTTATAAACTAAAAGTGCCTAATATACATAATGTACTTGTCCATACAGTCATCTAATAAATAAATATAGGAATGTTGGGATATTAACATGCAGCACCATCTCGTTCCATAGTAAGTTACGAGGCTTATGTAATGGATACCAGATAGTTGATACACTATACATATATAACTTTAAACACATACATATTATAAATATGAACAATCCATAACTGGAGTACAAACATTCGTGCTTGTCACAGAAATGGTTGCCCCGAGCGGGACTCGAACGCGCGACCGCTAGCACAGCAAGTAAGGTCACTACAAATTGAGCCAAACGTGTCGTTTATCTATTTCATACTACGCGTCAAATCCTTTATTGACGCTTTAGCAGCAGCAGTCTTAAATCTATACTAATATTATAAAATAGTAAAGTTTGTGAGTTTAAGACGCTGTAGGAGGTAATCTCTAGATCTACTAAACCGATTCAGATGAAATTTGGTAAGAACATAGTTTGAGACCCTGGGAAGGAAATAGAATAATTTTTATTCCGGAAATCATCCCTTAACGGGGTGAGAATGGTGATGAAAGTTTGTATTGGGAAGTAAGCCAGTGTTAGAATAAACAAACAGTATATAAAGTGTCACCCGTGAGCGGCCCTGGCGCCGACGTCGGCGCCGGCGTCGAGCAGCGCGCGCGCGGCGGCGTGGTGGCCGTGGTGCGCGGCGGCGTGCAGCGGCGTGTAGCCGTCGCGCGTGCGCGCCGCGCAGCGCCCGCCCGCCTGCACCAGCGCCGTCAGCACGCACGTGCGCCCCTCCGCCGCCGCCAGGTGCACCGGGGTTAGACCTGAACACACAATTATGAGAGGTTCATTCTCGCTGGTATTGGTGGTGGATAGGTAGAAGGATTATTAGTATTAAACCTGATCGACAGATACATAATGATGGTAATGAAAGATCAGACGGGAGATGGAGAATGGTCGGTTAATTCTGGCTGTGACGAAATAAATAATAATAATTATTAGCTAGAGGCACAATTTATGCCTCTCAATGTCTTAGAAATTTAGAATGGATATAGATTATACCCAGAATATCCAGAAAGAACATAGCCTATATTTGATGTTTCTTTCTCCATACCTACCAGGAGGATGGAGATAATATATGTGACAGTTTCGAGTGACAATATTGTAGTGATATAAATTAAACTGACTATTATATAATATATTCTTATACATAAAAAAACATTGATTTAGAGTGAAGTAAAAATATAGCAAATTACTGACATATTTACTGTACATAAACAATGCAAAGAGTCCTTCTAGTCTTACTTTCCGATATAAAGGAGAGTAATAAACATCTAGAGAGATATATCACTTGTTTTTTTTTAAAACCATTAACGATCAAATACTTTCATTCTTCATTTAGAGATAAGTCAATATTCTTCACTTAACCTAAAATGGTGAGTTTCTACGTTTACATATTTAGCTGTATAATTAACTAGCGGCTCACCCTCGCTTCGCTCGGGTTCACCTCTAGAAAAGCACAAACAGATCTATCCCACGGGAACCGTTCATTTTTCCGGGATGAAAAGTAACCTGTTGTTTGACCGGCAATATAAGGTATCAGCATGCCAAATTTTACTAAATTAGGTGCGTAAGTTGTTGTGTACTAAGGTGTATAAGTTGTTATAGTTTCATAACTATTCCACGGGAACTCTTTAATTTTCCGGGATGAAAAGTATCTAAGATGTTGCCCGGGGATATAAGGTACCACTATGCAAAATTTCATTTAAGTCGGTCCGGAATAGATTCAGAGATTAGCCCGTACAAACAGAAAAACAGAGAAACAGCTCGCTCGGGTTCGTCCATACCTACGAATATGTTGTATTATCTCATTAACCATTTGTCCAAATTATATGCAGTAAAATGGAAAAGTCTTTTGTTTTAAACATTTTAGACGACAAATTTACTTATTTTGATAAGAATTCATAATTGTTGATAATATGACCAATAAACATGACCTACCGATTTAAATTATTTTTTTAATATAAAAAACTACTTTTTGTGACTTAAATATAAAAGTTAGACATATGCCGTCGCTGACTTTTTTGTAGGTATTATTAAGCTTTACAACTTTTCTCTAGAACATAATCATATATCTCTCGTCGTTAAGTTAGCGTTCGTAAGAAACGTTTTCGTTCGACCGTTTTTTCTCCGACTTACTTTGCAAATCCGACTACCACGAAAAATCCTTTTCATTCTTCGGATTAATATATAGCCTATGACACTCAGAAAGAACGTGGCTTTCTATTGGTAAAAGAATTTTGAAAATCGGTTCAGTAGATCCAGAGATTACCCCCTACAACGTCACAAACTCACAAACTCACAAGATCACAAACTTTACCTCTTTATAATATAAGTATAGACTAGTGACTCACTCTCGCTCCACTACGGGTTCGTTCCTAGTGAAAAACAAAAACAAATGTATCCCACAGGAACCGTACATTTTTCCGGAATAAAAAGTAGCCTATGTGATATATGATCCAGATCCGTTCAGCCGTTCTGGCGTGAAAGAGAAACAAACAAACATTCATCCATCCATCCTCACAAACCTTCACATTTATAATATTAGTAAGGACTTACCATTATTAGCAGGTACATTGACGTCTGCCCCTCTTTCGATGAGCATTTCAACGCAATCCTCATGTCCCTCTTGAGCCGCCATGTGCAGTGGTGTGAAACCCGCTTTAGATTTTACTCCCGGGTCGGCATCTAGATAAGGAAGTAACAATAAGTAAGCCCAATGTAAAAAAGATGTAGGCATACAAACTTAGTTTTAAATAAAAACTATACGAAAATTATAAATGTTTTGGATGGTTTATCTTACTTTTGCTGTGAAAATGGGTTAGTGTTTTTTCACTTGAAAACATCAAATGTATGTGATCTATGAGTTTTTGTGATTAAAAACTCAGTATACTTACATACATCACTTCTTTTTAATGCCTAAAGAAATCTATAGCGACAACAGAAAGCACCTTGAGAAATTACTGTGTCAAAATTTTTAATATTTCTAATGAAATAGATTACTCTAATTAATTACTTAATCCATTATAATTACTATCCCCTATGTTTATACTTTCGCTTAAACATGATCAAACTTCGAACAGCAACAACCATGAATTCAGATTTTGGACGTATTACAATAGAATTTAATAATATATTATACAGTAGTACATAATTAATTGAATAAAAATGAATTCGGTTAATTTTTTTAGGATCTTTAAAAGTACTTTTCGAAATGCCAAATATTACTTACTTTCTTTAGAAATTACAATAACAAACATTATCCTTATCCGTCTTATCCACATTAATAAAATTAATGTGGATAACAGAAAATATTATAGAAATAAAGAAATAATTAAATATTATGAGTGCTTGAATAAGCCAGTGAGAGTCATATACTGTTTTACCCTGTAACAACTCAACGTACCGCATTCGAAGGAAATTCGGACCAAATAAACCTTATATACCGAAAACACTTTTCATCAATGGCAAGTGCAAATACTAGCAAAAAAACAGTAACATAAATAAGAAAAAAACATACCATGTTCCAAGAGTGCAAACGCGATATCGGGATGGTTGTGGCGACACGCGATGTGTAAAGCCGAGTGTCCATTTTTTGCCAGCGAGTGTGGCGACGCACCTGTGTATAAGGGAACGAATCTTCTAGCTTACTCCACTAAAATAATGGACTATTTCTAGCTTAACAACTAAATAAATGAATAAATGAATGATATAAAACGTTTATTTTAATGTTAAGTCTGCATTTTGTACATTTTTTTTTCATATATTCTGTGCAAAAATATAACAAAAAAAAATGTGTATGTTATATAAGCACTAATGAAATCTACATATTTACATTAAATTCTGTAATTTAATATGGTAACAATATATTTCATATCAATTATTTTATTCGTATATCACCATGTTTTGTTCGATTGCTTTTATGATGATTACGCAGACATAAAAAAATTTAATTTACAAATAAACATTCCAACCTCTATGACCTCGATGTTCTTAATTGCACGCCAGAAGGGGCTATTGAAGCCAATAAAGTCATAATTACTAGCCAATTATATGCCCCTATTATTGACAAATACCTTTACACACCTTTTTAAAATTACGCAACAATTCTAATACACAGAGGGCTACATTTTGTGACATCTAAATGAAACGTGTTCTTTATTCAAATAGGCTTTGATAAAAAAATTTGCAACATTAATTGGACAATACTTTAATTACACTGTAATGCCGAAAATTTAATATAAGAACGAATAATTTCATTTTTCTTTACTAAAATAATTTATATAACGAGAATAAATCTTTTTGGGAACTATTTTTTTATTTAATAGATTTAAAATAGCATAGCGATACATGTGACGCCATCTATTGTCAATTAAATTAAATTGAGCTAATTATTCCTAATGAGACTTCATGGAAATCAGTACCCATATTATGTGATGATAATGAATATTTAAAACTATTAAAATTAGCTCTAAAATACAAAACATAAACAACTGTTACCATGGCAACAAACAATTATCAGCTAACTTCGTCATGTCGCGTTTTGGCTGTCGGTGTGCGTGCGCATCGTAAAAATTTCACCCTCATAATTTTTTCCAAACGTCTTTTAATAAAACATAAATACCTTTATCCAGCAAAAGCAATGCTATATCCGGATGCCCGTAGTACGTGGCCATGTGCAGCGGCGTGATGTGGCTCTTGCCGGGCGCGTCGGGCTGCGCGCCGCGCGCCAGCAGCAGCCGCGCCACGCCGATATCGCCGTACTTGGCTGCCAGGTGGAGTGGGGTGAAGCCCTTACGCGTCTCCGCTTCGATGGGCGCGTTATGGTCTAACAGTATGGAGGCGACTTCTTCTTTACCTGTTTTGTTTAACAAACAATTCAAGTATGTTAATACTTTCTTAGATTTACGCAAATATTTGACATTTTTACATAAAATTATCTTTTCGGATTTTTTCGCGGGTTTATTTTGATTTTTGGTTCCCGACGTTTCGAATGCTTTACAGCAATCATGGTCATGGGAGAGACTAAGATGTTAGATGTCTTAAAGGTATTATATAGTTGTTACAGACAGCCTACCCACAAATAACAAAATGAATTCAAAAAATTTAAAAATCACACCAAAATACCTTATAATATTTTTTAATTTTTATTATTTCAATTAGTTTTATAATGGAGTATATTATTTAAATTGCATAATTAATTTTTGGCCGACTTAAACAATGGATGATACGAATTTCGGGTGTAGATTTTTGTGTAGGTATGTGAAGCGGTATGTATGTCAATTGTGAACACGTTTTCAATTTTCTTAACGAATTCTTATTATTGTAATAATTTATTTTTAATTGATTGACGTATGAACGCCTTTTTAATTAAAAAGTAATTAATTAATTAATAAAAAGTATGGAGGCGACTTCTTCTTTACCTGTTCTATTTAAAAAAACAATTAACGGATGTTATTTAAATTACATAACTGATTTTTGACTGACTTAAACAATAGAGGTTACGAATTTCGGGTGTATATTTTTTGTGTATGTGAACACGTTTTCAATTTTCTTTTCTTTTAGTTAAGTTTGATGTCTGAACGCCTTTGTAATTAAAAATTCATTAATAAATAATAATAATTAAAAATTTTAATCCATATCACCAATAAAAATATAAGAGGGTAAAAATTATACATTTTTAGGTTAGGTTTTTATCCTTCAGCTAAATCTGTGATTTTTCAATAGAGGCTATTCAGACTTTAATAAGATTTTTTGTAAAGCATCATTTTTTTGGAAATTTAATAGATATTAAGGTACAGGATGACGAGGAAGACTCAATTTACCTTTATTCTTTTCGCCAATTGTGAATCAATTGTCATAACTTATTTTAACGAAATACCTTAAGAGTTGGTCCCGTACAAATAAAAAAAAACTAATATGGAATTTGAAATTCAGTGTACCTTTTTTTGTTAAAAGTAATATTTTTAATCACAATTTTTAGAAAATTTCTGCTAACTTTAATTGACATTTTATGGCGGTCTGAGTTCAGATTTAAGTGCGATTTAACTAGATAAATAAAAAGCATACAATAAAATAGACAAAATAATACAGAGATCTCTTCTAGAGATAAGTCCACTTCTATACTAATATTATAAATGTGAAAGTTTGTGAGTGTGTATGGATGTTTGTTATTCTTTCACGCCAGAACGGCTGAACGCACCTGGATGAGGCACAAATATAGATTACAGTCTGGAATAACACATAGATATCCCGGAAAAATGTACGGTTCCCGTGGAATAAGTTTGTTTTTGTTTTGCTAGAGGCGAACCTGAGCGAAACGAGGGTGAACAACTAGTGTTACATAATAAATGTGCAATAAAGATTATAATAAATAAAATGTTGGTAAATTTGAGCCTTTTGGCAAGTTTTGAGTTTTTTGGCAGGTTTTAAACATAATAACATAATAACCTTCCTTAGCAGCGATATGTAGCGGTGTGTATTTATCTTTAGTAGTGGCTGCGACCTGCGCGCCGTGCTGTAGCAACAAGGCTGCAATGTCGCCGTGGCCAAGCCTCGCCGCTACGTGCAGGGGCGTTTGCTCTTCACGTGCTCGAGCTTCCACCTGGGGAATGTAGGATTTATAAGTTATTTTCCATACTTAGATTCACTGCCGTATCGATTTGATTGGAATCTAAAAGCATCCACAAATATTTTTTATTCAAGTTATGTCCCTAACATGTACAATAAAAAAGTTGTAAATTTATAAAAATAATTGAAGGATTTGTAATCCGTGATGATCCCCGTGTCAGCGTTAAGGCGTGACACACACACACACACGCACGCACGCACGCACGCACGCACGCACGCACGCACGCACGCACGCACGCACGCACGCACGTACTGGAAACTATCTAGTGGGCATAAATATAGTAGTATATATACCTTAGCATTGTTCCTGAGCAGCACGCGCACGAGGTCGGTCTGGTGCGCGCGCGCCGCCAGGTGCAGCGGCGTCTCGCCGCGCGCCGTGGCCGCGTCGGCGTCCGCGCCCGCGCCCACCAGCACCAGCGCCACGTTCATGCAGCCCATGAACGACGCCACATGCAGCGGGGTCAGGCCGGACTCTGTTGTCGCTGATTTACCTAAACACACAATCACTACATAGTACAAAACAAAGTCGCTTTCCGCTGTCTATCTGTCATGTATGCTTAGATCTTTAAAATTACCCAACGGATTTTGATGCGATATTTTGTAATAGATAGAGTGATTCAAGAGGAAGGTTTATATGTATAATATATGCATAAAATCAAAGATTTGTATTTCATACTAACCGTCAAAACGTACTTAGGGACGAACGAGCGAGACGAAAGTGAGTCGCTAGTACAATCATAAAAATAATAAGATTGAGACCTCCCGAGAAAATAACATCTGTCCCCGCCTCTGAGTTGCCTTCATTGGCCGTTTAGAGTGGAGTGCAAGAGTCAAGTGCTCGAAATGGTGGACGTACTCAAACTGCGTAATAACGGGGAGACCCGCTCCTAAGCATCCTCGCGATGGTAAAACCGGTGCACACCTCTCGACACTCTTAACCGACCACGCCGATGTTACGTCCAAGACACTACGCCGCTTTGTGAGCTCCATCTAATGAAAGCCGAGTCACCATCGACCAAATATTCAATCTGAGACTGTTGAGTAGACGGACCGGCAGTGTCATCTAATAGCCCAGTTTTTTGGCCCATCCAAACTCCATTCCATAACCTCATTTAATAAAAAAATCTTAAATTTGAATAAACATTAACAAATACTCACTGGCACCATATTTCAGCAATAATTCAACAACTTTAAGTCTATTCTTCTTGCACGCAATGTGTAGGGGCGTGAAACCGTTGAGCGCTCGGGCGTTTGCATCTGCATTTCTGTCTAAAAGGAGTTTTGCCACCTGAAAATAAATTTTCATATTTATTGGTAAGACTACTTATATCTTAAATTTATAATGTACATGCCATTGATATATAAAGACCCAAAATACACAGCCGACAACTCAAAAGTGTCTTCAAAAAAAGAGCGTACAATTCGAAATTGTCGGCCGTCTCATTGTCAAAGTGAGTGAATAGTAATATTTACATTTTTTACATCTAAATTAAATATCAGCTTAAATTCGTAAGTTAATAATATACTGTAATATGATAATGCAAATAAAAAAAAATACAATTTCAGTAAACATAAGGGATGAAAGTAAAAAAAACAAGCTCATCACCTTGACATGTCCGCAGTGTGCGGCGACATGCAGCGCCGTCAAGTAGTCTACGGTGACGTCATCGATGGGAGCACCCTCGGAGAGTAGCACCTTGGCCGTCTCCACGTGTTCGCCTTGCACGGACATGTGGAGAGGGGTGAGACCGTTCTGTGGAATAAATCACAATAATTATCATCAATCAAATCAAAATTAATGTATTCCGCATCGATTTTGGTCACAGCGGCCGATCTAAGACTAGCCATCAACGCAGGAGATATTATAGTGTACGCGCAGACTGCATACCAGGGCTGCTAGTAGAGCCAACTTATTTTATAGCGCTGGATCATTCAAATTATACCAAATCAAATTTTATTATACAAATTAACAAAACTGTTGAGAAATAGTCTGTGATGAATAAATAATTTCAATAAAAATACGTAATAACTTCAAATGAAATATGTACATAAAATAACCATAATATTTTACAATTTTCGTATCCAATTATACGATCTGGCAGCCCTAGTGCAGACACAAGTGCACTATCTATTCCTGTCACTATCTCCCTCTCTCTATCTATCTGGTGGGACGACAACTTTCCAACACCAGTCTGTTACTGAGAATTTCTTGATAAAAAATATTCTTGACCCAACCAGGGACTTGAACCCAATATCTACAGCTTTACATGCTAGCCACTACACCACCGAGGCAGTTAAAAGCAAAATATACCTTTTGCAAGCATTTTTGAATTGTCAATTTCAATATATATTTTTTTTTAATTTAAAGTCAGTATATAACGTGACAATTCTTCGTATCTACAGGGCAATACGAACATACATTTATAGTGTCGTAATAAGTGTCAATAGATGGCGCTTACCCCATTCTTATGCAAATACGAATATTATATAATTTTTTTTACAAACACACAACAATAGTTTTTTATAAGACCGACAAAGTGCGAGTCGGACTCGCGCACGAAGGAAGCCCCCTTAAATATTTATTTTATTCTGTTTTCTAGTATTTGTTGTTACAGCGGCAACAGAAATACATCATCAATTTCAACTGTCTAACTATCACGGTTCATGAGATACAACCTGGTGACAGACGGACCAACAGACAGACGGACAGCGGAGTCTTATTAATAGGGTCCCGTTTTACCCTTTGGGACCTTAATAACTAAAAACTATTCGTACCTTAGTCTTGCTAGTGATAGGCGCCCCGTGTGACAACAGTCGGGACACGACGTTGCTGTGCCCCGAGCGCGCCGCGCAGTGCAACGGCGTTAGACCGTCCCGCGTCATTGCTGCTATGTTTGCACCTGTAATAAATACACTCAGACCTAAGGAATAATATAGACATTCATATCCATACTAATATTATAAATATGAAAGTGTGTTTGTTTGTTTGTCTTTCTTTCACGTCGAAACGGAGAGACGGATTGGCGTGATTTTTGGTGTGAAGATAGTTGGAGGGCTGGAGAGTGACTTTGAGGCTACTTTTTACCGCGGCAGATTATCTAATTCTTTCATTATCTAATTCCCACAGGAAAACACGTTATAATGCAACTCCAGAAATATTAATGATCAGAATTACTTGCAACTTGGTATTATTGCTCTTCAATACAATTAAATAAATACGTGTTTCAGCATTTTTTGAAATTCATCCCATAAGGGGTTAAAATAGGGGATGAAAGTTTGTATGAAACCTACCTTTTTAGAGATTTTTTATAATTTTAGCGCGTGGGAAACCGCGGGCTCTGCTAGTAATATTATATATTTGTCAGACAATAACAACGGTTAAAATGACAACATGGCAATGTATTCTATCTCTTTCTCTCGCAGGCTTAATCCTGTAATTACATCGAGTTTCAAATCACAACGATTCTAAAGAAGTTTCACTTCAAGAACTTACCATTTTCCACCAGTAAGTCCACCATAGCCAACTGTCCCCACTTGCTAGCCACGTGTAGAGGGGTTATGTTGTGTTTCGCGGCTCTACCCGGGTCTGCACCCGCAGACAGCAACGCTTTGGCCACTCCCACATTCCCATAGTGCGCTGCAATATGGAGTGGAGTGAAACCTGATTTGGAACAAGCGTCTGGGTTGTGTTCGTTCTGGAAAAGTAATAAATCTTATTAAAATACAGCTAAAGTATGTTTATTAATAACTTAGGACTTGGCAAGTTATCTTATAGTCCTTGATATGATTTTAATTGTACCTAAATTTACCAAGTTGCTCTATTGAGTAGCGAAGAACAAATTGTATTATCTTCTAGATTCTAGAGCAACTGAAGAAGTGAAAGAGTTATAATTTAAGAAACTTCGAATAAACTTAGTGTCCAGTTAGAACTAAAATCGTTTATAAGAAAATCTGATATTTTAATAGTTATCTTGAAAGATCTTTTGTTACGAACTTAGCGTTCTTTCATATTTATGTGTTTGGTATCTGCCATTTATGTCCAAAATTAATCATCTTTGTGCCAAATATATATAATTGAGAGGCTAAATGATCGAAGAAATAATTAATTATTATTAATATTGGCCGTCAAGGATGTCATGTTCAGACCAAACCTATTTTGGAATGCAATAAAACATAATTAATTGTACTGTTTGGCCTCACCTTCCTTTAATTTCACTTTATTTAATGAAATCAGGGAGAATATCCATGGCTTATTGACCATTTTTTATTAAAACGTATCGACATAAAAACTATAGCTTAGAAATTGGCTACCACGTGGTTCCATGGGTTAAAAGTTTTTACTATTCAATACTCAGATAGTTAGAAACTTTATATATTTTCCAAAATAATTGTTTTAATCTTCTAAAAAGACCCCGATCAAGATAGAAACGAGGTGGATCTTTGGGATTACTTTATACACTTAAGAGTTAGTTTTCGGCTATAGGAGCTTACTGGTGACCAATATTAATACTTGTTACGAGCTGGGCTTTACATCGTTATTTATATTAAAACTTTATTAACGTGAATAACAGTTATATAATGATTTCATTACAAACCTATACAAACATACAAATATCCTGTATAAAAGTTTAGATGGTATAATAATAAAATCACTGACAATTGAGATATATGGTATAAGTTAACTGGAACAATGGCAAATCCGATCCCATATCTAATAGAGTGAGCTTTACGCTGACGTTGAGACCTGATTTACATAACGAAATTCGGCTTTCCCAATAATATAGGCTCATTGCAAGCAATTGATATACGCTAAAAATATCAAATTAGAATTCTTGACTGTATGTAATAATACTTACTATTGAGTAAAGCAAAAAGTAAGCTTTTAAAACAAAGAAAAATATCTAAGGTCTAACCGTTTCCTAAGCTATATTTTAAAATAAAGTTTAAGCTCTTGTTCCAATAACTAAAACTAATCAATTCAACTAATGTTATGAAGGCGAAAATTTGTGAGAATGGATGGATTTTTGTTACTCTTCACTCAATAACTATTGAACGGATTTTGGAACGAATCTCATATATCAGAGTAACATGTAATATATAAAATTCTCGTGTCATAGTGTTTGTAACAAAACTTCTCCGAAACAGCATGACTGATTCTTATGAAACTTTAACAGTCAACAGAATGAACAGAATAATATACAACATTATATAAGTATCTAAGTATCTTACTTCTTCTATACTTACTTCGAGTAAAAGCGTAGCAGCTTTAACATCATTCTTCTTAGCGGCGATATGTAGAGCAGGAAGCCGCACTTTGCCTCGTGTATCTGACTCTAATAACTCTGCGACGACTCTGTCGTGTCCCTGTTGCATGGCTACTGCTAATGGTGTGAAGCCATCCTTAAAACAAAAAGACAATAATATACCCTAATATATTGTGTCGACACACAACATTGAATATTTAATATTAGATTCTACAGAAAGAACAAAAAAAACAAACAGATAAGGAAGAAAAAATAATATTATTTTCCTCGTTTATATTAAAATGGGGAAAAATAATAATATTTTATTTTATATGGAAAATTCTATACATTTCATATAATTATAGTATGTAGTAGTAGTATGTTATACAAGGTTGAATTGAATTACTTCTGAATGTCATTTGATGTCATTCAAATATTATTTTAGGACCGAGTTTATGTTTTCTACTACATCTCTATTATGCCATTATGATTCTCGTACATGAATAACAAGTAATAAATATTTACACAAACTAAGGTCAAAGATCAGAGATTGATGTTTTTGACATAGATAAGATTTTTCTTTTCAACGTTCAACTATTTATTTTACAATACATTCTTATTACTCTTATTGGTTATTGTGTTTTTGCATACCGTGCCTTCACAGAAGTATGAATTTCGCATTTTTTATTAAAAATAGTACACCATAATGTAAACAGAAGGTTTGTATTTGTTTATTATTATATCAAAAGCTTTAAATTTTGGTACTTTTGCTGTGAACTTATTATGGTTAGCATTCCAATTACCATTTTCTGTTACTTGAACTACTACGAAAAATGAAGTTACAACTTTAATGTAAAAATTAGTCCAACCAGCAATCGTTATAATTTTTTTTTATATCATTTTTCTTTCTCATATTGCTACCGATCAATCTCTTTCATCTCTCCATTGTATGTTATTCATTATACATAAGTGAAATTTATTTAAAGCAGTGGTAATCCAGTGGTAACACGCTCACTTGGGACATTGAGTGAAACGGGTTCAAATCCCGGGTCTCGCAGTAGTAACGGGAGACCCGAGCTCAGCAGTGGAACTTAAAAAAAGGGGCTGAATACTAAATATTTATTTTACTCAAGTAGCACGTCTAAAATATTTATAATAAAAATCCTATTACTTGAAATTGAAATAGTAAAGCAAATTGACATAAAAAACTCTATTTCACTCACTTCTGTCGCTAACGTCTGGCTGGCACCAGCGGCTAGCAGCATCTTGACGCATCCCGCGTGATTCTCTTGCGCTGCCATATAGAGTGGAGTGAATCCTGCTGCAGATTGGGCGTCTGCTTTGGCGCCCGCGCCTAGCAACGCCCGTGCTACAGACTCTTGTCCTGCGAGACATGCTATATGGAGGGCTGTGTTACCTGCATGGAAAATGTATAAAATTAAACTATATTTACAAAGGCAACAAGTATAATTGCGTTACTTTTTCACATACGGCTGGATAAATTAGAATGAAATTTTACTTTTCTGTACACAGTTAGACATGCCCTTCAATAATACATAGGCTACTGACGCACTCGAGCGAAGTGAGGGTAAGTTGTTAGTTTCAAATAGAACTATATTTTCGGATTTTTTATTGACTTAAACGATTTATTGAAAAATGTTCACGTAACCACAGTATCACAAGTACATATGTTGTAAGCATAAAGTTATACATCCATATTAATATTATAAATGTTAAAGTGTTTGTTTGTTTGTCTCTCCTTCTTTCACGTCGAAACGGAGTGATGGATTCGCGTGATTTTTGTGTGATATATATTAGATAGTTGGAGAGCTGGAGAGTGATATAGTTTACTTTTTGCCGCGGGAGATTATCACATTCCCACGGGAAAGCACGTTATAAGACAACCAAAAAATATTTATGATCTGAATTACACGAGACTTAGTATTAATGCTCTTCTATACAATTAAATAAATACGTGTTTGAGCATTTTTCGAAATTCATTTTATAAGGGGGTAAATTAGAGGATGAAAGTTTGTATGAACTCGAACTTTCTAGAGTTTTTTCGTAGCTTTGCGCGAGTGAAGCCTCGGGTTTTGCTAGTGTATAATATAACAAAAAGTCCAACAAAACAGTAGAATCCTAAGTCAATAGAATGAAGCTATTAGAATCACGATATTTTACATCTATTACTTTTTTCTTTAGATGATGTCTGACAGCTACATACGTTGCAACATCTCGTCATTAATAATATTGAGAAGAGGCATTAATTATAATAAGTGTTTAATTTATCAATTACCTTTTTTTGTTGCTGCATCGACTGTGGCACCTCGCTTTAACAGTTCCTCTACGACGGAAATGTGACCATCTTTTGCGGCTAAATGTAAGGCATTAAGACCATTCTGTAAAGAAAAAATATTTTTTAAAATGATCTTATAGGATTACTGATTAGTTATTAGTATTATATATGTAAAAGTTTGTATGTTTGCATGTTTATTATTCCTTTCATTTCATCATCAAACGACTGGACAGATTCAGATGAAAAGTACACAGATAGGTTATGACTTAGAATAACACATAATTTACTTTTAAGCATTTAGACATATTATGACATAAAAATAGCCATGTAGAAACATATATTACTTATGTTATATAAAAATTAAGCGTACGTAATAGTAATAAATTGTTTTTTTATCTTCCCAAGCCACAGTTTGACAGTTACTAAATTTAGGGTGTAAATGCGTAATTAAAGTGCCACTGATTTCGTTCCGCAGTGTTATCGAACACTTGTTCGACCAGTTGTAAAAACGTATTCAATTATAAAAAATAACTTAAACGCGAACATTTCTATTGTATGTAAGTTGTATTTACGTCTATGTTGAAGAACTGGATATAATGCAAACAAAATATCGCACTGACATAAGTACATTTCGCATTATTTTTTGTGTTTAATTTTAATTACGACTAATTTTAACAGCCTTTTGTATTTAAAACTATAAGTATTAATACAGTTTTTGTATTGTATTTAATACGATTGTTGAATTACGATTAACTATAGAGTAAGTGTTTTTATAAATTTAACATTTATGTACATAATGCAAAAGTAATTTTTATAATTATTTTTATGATGAAAGATGCAATTTTATTTTTAGTTCAATAAATGTTAATGATATAGTTGTACTATAAAGTAATACAATCTAATATAAGAATAATTATCATTCAGTCTTTACAACATCTTACTGCCACGCACGGGCCTTTTCAATATTAGCGGAGAATTAGGCATAGTTCACCACGTTAGCCTCCTGTTTGCGGATTTCAGATAAATTAGATTATCAGTTATAACAGAAGATTTCAGTTACAGATTTCCTCATATAGTATACCATCAAACAAACAAACAAACAAACAAACAAACAAACAAACATAAAATCCATTGACATTAACTTACTCGCTTCATTAGTAAACCCACAATCTTCAGTGGGCAGTGACTACGAAGTATAAAGGATATTTATAGCAGGACAACTGTGCAAGTCATGGCACCTGTAAAATCGTAATGGATCTTAGCTACGAATGCGCAGCGGAGCTGAACGTTTAGTTCCTCGAAGGTCGCCTACATTTACAATATCAAAAGATAACTTTTGTGAAATAATGAAATAATTATAAAATAAATCTAGAATAATATATGTACATATATTATATAGGTATATAAGCTTTTCTTTATTACGTTTTCTATTATTACTTACTGACTGATAATTTCTAAGCGCCGTCGAAATGAAAAATTTAATCAATACCTATATTATAAACAGAGTTTGTTTGAACGCGCTAATCTCAGGATCTACTAATCCGATTTGAAAAATTCTTTTTGCATTAGATAGCCCGTTTATTGCAAAAGGCTATAATAATATAGTCTACCTATTCCTTTCTATCCATTAAAATTTACCTAAGCGTAGCGAAGGTGCGTCGTTAGTAAACGAATACAAATATATGTACTATAAAAAGTATAGGAATTTATTATATTTATTATTTTATTTATAATTGGCGACACGTTTGGCTCAGTTTGTAGTGACCCTACTTGCTGTGCCAGCGGTCGCGGGTTCGAGTCCCGCTGGGGGCATTCATTTGTGTGATGAGCACGAATGTTTGTACTCTAGTCATGGGTATTATATTTATAATATATATGTATTTAAATTTATATATGTATGTGTAGTGTATCAACTATCTGGTATCCATAACACGAGCCTCGTAGCTTACCATGGAACTAGATGGTACTGTGTGTTAATGTCCCAACATATTTATTTATTAAAATTATTGTTGTCATTGTTACTTATTAAAGTACATGCGGTCATTCGCCATCTTTTATCTGTAGATGTATGCAATCTTAAGGGCATCTACAAGTTAAGCATTCTTTAAAGTACCTACCCCTCTACCGAAAACAGAAATATTGCGCAATACATATTATGGTTCTCATATGTGCGATTTTCATTTGCTACACAAAACATAACCGTGACACACTTGTATGCAAAGTGATATAATCTCCATGACACTGAAACACGGATGTATGTTAATATAGAGTGAAGCTATTTCTGTAAGCAAATTAACGCTCCGGAAGTGCATACATTTCTAGTAAAACTATTTAGATTTTATAATAGTATAAAACTGAAAATGTAGTGGTTACCCATTAGTAACACTTGAACAGATTTCTGAAGCGGGATCAAACTCATGTCACATCATCAATCATTTTCAACACAGCTACTACATACTAATACGGTAAAGGGACACATCGCAAAAAAAAACAGTATGTTTGAGTGAGGCTTACTAGTTTTAGAATCTAGCTAGCATTTGGCCTAGGCTAGCATGATGGACTATGACCTAATCTCCTTAGCATGGAGAATAATAAAATTAAGAAAAACAGTACAGGCTAATTCTATTGATTTATACTTAACCCTACGATGGGTACGATACAAACTTTCATCCCCATTTTCATTCCCTTAAGGAATTATTTCCGGGATAAAAACATATATAAGACAAAAACTATCATATGTCCTACCCGGGGTCTCAAACTATCTTCTTACCAAATTTCATCTAAATAGGTTCAGTAGTTCCAGAGATTACTTCCTACAAACAAATTCACAAACTTACAAACTTTCCCTCTTTATAATATAGATAGATAAGAATAATTAAGGTCTTATAGTTTCTCCATGTTTGATAAAGAAAAAAGTCTACAAGCTAGTCTCCAAAATACGAAATTCCTTGTACTACATTTTAACAAAGTTTGTTACAGTAAAAATTACCATACAAATGAAGTAAAGCAGTACATGTGCAATATACGAAGGAATCCACAGATCTTGGTTTTACACAGCAGGAACAAGCCAGTAGTTACAGCAGGAAGCAACCTCGTAGATCATCAACGTCCGTCAAACGCGTAATTGGCTCCATTTCTTTTGTAATACTTAACAGGAACGATGGGGAGTGCAGAATATTAAGGTGCCTCGTTATTATGACATTTTTTATTACATGTTTTTTTCTAGCATTTATCTGAACTATATCCATACCGTAAAAGCGTAAAAATTAAATACTAATTTAGAAATAGGCTTTAAGCTATATTACAACTTGGTTTTTCTTTGAAACATTATTCATTCTACTTTTCCAATAAACTCTACATAGCATCGTATATGAATATGGGATAATTAAAACATAATATCAATTAGCGAACCATTACTGTTGTAGCACCATCAAGGGACAAATTATAATGCAATTGCTCGAAACTGCGTATAATTATGACGAGGGTGATTGGTCCCGAGAGACCGCAAAGTGAGTTAATAGGTGACCCGGTTTAAGTCTTGGCATTCATATTGACTATGTGCTGTAGATGCACTTATGGAAACGACAGACAGCTAATCATTAATGTGGTGGAAGCACATTACTCTGATGTCTTATTTATATCTACAGCTTTAATTAGATGAAATATGAAAAAAAAATAAAAAAAATGTTTATTTACTTATACATTTTTTTTCTATTATATTAAAATTCCTAATACCTCCAGGTAAATTTCTAAGAAATCTATTGTTAACTGTAACGCCGGCGTATCGGCAGTCATGGAGGGATTAACCTAAGGAAATCCTACCATTACTAAGATAGGACAAAAACAAACAGAATCTTCTGAAATATACTCGTATCTCTTGTATGAAACGCTCCCCGGTTAAATTCATTACTTTTACTTTTTTACTATTTGTAAGGAACTGAACCGTAATTACACATAGTTTGTGGAAATTTAAGCCAGCTATCTAGCAGAGTTTAAAGGAAAAAATAAATACAAACAGTTAGTAAATAAAGCGCCTTAGTATTTGAGTAGCCTGTTTGGTATGAAATCCTTAAATCATCAACAGCACAAATGTATTTTCTACTAAAAACCAAAACAAACCTATCCCACGGGAACCGTACATTTTTCCGGGATAATAAGTAGTCTATGCGTTATTCTGATGTATGAGCTATATTATTATAAAGTTTCATCAAAATCATTCAGTAGTTTTCGTGTGAAAGAGTAACAAACATGTATTCTAACAAACTTTTGCGTTTATAATATTAGTAGGACAATCACATAAAAGTCTAAGGGATAGCAACGATTTATTTTCATTACAGTCTTTTTACATTACAGGCTTTAAGTAGATATAGATCGTAAAGCGTAACACATTATTTGAGTGCTAAACCAAGTGACATATATTTCCGAAAAAATAGTAATCTACCTCTGTACTTAGATAATAAAACTTAATCCAATTCGACCCAAGGGAAAAATATAATAACACGAGCCCATAGATATTTATAACATTTTATGGCCGAATTCAGCAGTCATTTCAACCATAATATTATTTTCTTTAATCATAAATTCTATACCAATAAAACAGACTTTGTGTCAATATTAAAATAAAGATTTTTAAACGTATTCAAAAAGCTTTTTCATCTTCCATGTTATTGTTGTGCTATACAAAATAATTACTTATAGATGTATCCATTTATTCATTTCTAAAGGTCAGTCGTGTCAATAATTTAAAAAAATTGGTTTGTGGCTTTTTATAATTTTATAGTAAGCATATTTGTCTTAGCTGTTTATGACATAAATAATAGTAGGGACAGATTTCAAATGAAACTTCAGAGAAGAACAAAAGTTTTTTCTAAAGGCCTATAAAGTGAGTTATGACTTGACCCGATTCGTCTAGGGACTTGGCAAGGATATTGATTACGTCTGCGAGAGCTTACTTGCTATATGTCGTGGGATAAGTCAGTTTAAGGTCATGAAGCTTTTTCTTACATTATTCAATTATATAAAAATAATGAACCAAAAAGCTTTTATTATTGTGTTCTTTATTGGCATATATTCTGTTATATTACTCGCAAATGCGTAAAATAAATGTAAAGCCTGCGTAGGGTAATTCAACAGAGATGTAAAAATATCCAATTTTTCTTTTAAGTATTTCTTTTTTTTTCTCTACTAAGTATACAAATCTCGTAAAAAAATGTGATTTAGTAAATACAGCGAAGGTATCTAGTTTATTCAATATATTACACAACATGCAATCAAACCGGCATTACTTTGCGACACGACGTAAAGTCGATGACAAATCGTAAATATCTAATACTAACAACTCACCCTCGCTTCGCTCGGGCTCGTCCCTAGCTTGCTTCCCAATACAAACTTTCATCCCCATTTTCACCCCCTTAAGGTATGATTTCTGGGATAAAAAGTATCCTACGTTATTTCCAGGGTCTCAAACTATCTTATTACCAAATTTCATCTAAATCAGTTTAGGAGGTCCAGAGATTACACCCTACAACGTCACAAGCTCACAAACTTTACCTCTTTATAATATTAGTATAGATTAGCGACTCACCCTCACTTCGCTGGGGTTCGTTCCTAGGTACGTTTTAACAGTAAGGTACTATGGAATAACTATTCCAAAGTTTATCTAGACTTGTATAATATGTATAATGTAATGTATATACATAGGTCTGATGAGTTTTTATGGGTTGCATTGTAACGTGTTTTCCCGTGGGAATGAGATAATCCCCAGCGGTAATAAGTATTTACGTCACTCTCCAGACCTCCAACACAAAAAATCACGCTAATACATCACTCAGTTTCGACGTGAAATAAGGACTAACAAACACACTTTCACATTTATAATATTATGTATGTATAACTTCGACTGTATGGATTTCTTCATAAGTTAGACGTTCTTAATCGTTGGGACTAAATAAAAAATCTAACAATACGCTAACGTCGATGAAATGGCAGATATATATTGCAATTATAATTAAGATAGCCTTTTGTATTGTGATTGTTCTTTAGAGTCTCACGTAGTGGCCACGTACCGAGCACTTGACCCTCAAGGTCAAGGTCATGTCAAAATTCTTTCACTAAACAATTGTAACAAACATACAAGTAGGTACTTTTTATATCAATAATTCCAACTCTGTATTTTTGGATGTTATCTATACATATAATAAAATTCTGAGCCGAATCTGTGCATGAAATATTTTTTGGAAAATCTTATTGAAATAGACATTATTATCGATACAGAGGCCGAATTCATAGTTTTTAGAATTTTTGTTTGTCTGTCTGTGTCTGTCTGTTACCGCATCACGAAAAAACCACAGATTTTGATGAAATTTGGTATGATGACATCTGGTTATCCGGGTCAACATATAGGATACTTTTTGCTGCGGGAAAATATCTCATTATGTAACATGTATGAATGTACGGGAAAACGTAAGTAGGGACGAACCCGAGCGGAGCGAGGGTGAGTCGCTAGTTATATAAATATGTCGTTATTTCTTTCTGTCTTGTTTGCCGATTGAAAGCTTATAACTCGAAGACCACTGGACAAAATTTTTATTAATAGCAATTTGCATTATATGGAATATATAGTGTACTTAAAGTTACAATGAATATTATGGTTGCGGGATATAATTAGTGTCTGAGAAAAAGCAGGCTAGGTCGCTATCAAGTTTGAACATCACAAAGTTCGAATGCTAGTCGTCCACTAGCTTCATGTATGTGTGTTTATATGCTTGTCTGTATATAATATTGTGTTTGTTTGTTACTTTTTCAAGCTGCAACGAACGGCTGGGCGGATTCGGAACAAATTTAGTACACACATACATATATTATGACCAGGAGTAACATACAAGCTACAATACAATATTAGGCACATAGGGTCGCACTCAAGAGAAGTTAGGATATATCAAAAGTATTATCTATATATATAATAAAATTCTAACTAAGTCGAATCTGTACATTAAATATTTTTTGGAAAATCTTATTGCAATAGACATTATTATCGATACAGAGGCTGAATCAATAGTTTTTAAAAATTTTGTCTGTCTGTCTGTCTGCCTGTTACCGCATCACGGAAAAACCACTGGATGGATTTTGATGAAATTTGGTATAATGATAGCTGGTTATCCGGGTCAACATATAGGATACTTTTTATTGCGGGAAAATATCTCATTTCTGTGAAATCTATACTATCTAAACGTTAAAACATAAGTAGGGACGAACCCGATAATAAAACAAAATCTTACCGAATTACATGTGTTTATATCTTTGACTGCACCAGAGTCGAGTAAATCGACTACTGTGTCCAGCTGACCGCCGCGAGCCGCGCGGAGGAATGCTGTGTTGGGATCTATCTGAAAATGAAAAAAAATATTATTATTAAAGCATCGTTCATATTAAAGTACGAATACTTTATCTACTTAATTAAGATACAACATTAAATATCTTTATTATAACAATGTATAAAATGAATTTTATATTGTTAAAAGCCAGAGCATGTTTTTTTTATTTTTCCCTTAATATAAAGTATCATTTATTTATTATTCTAGGGTCCCTAATAAAACTTCGAGATATTCCTTGCTTTTATTCTTATATTCAGTACTTTTATAAACGTCAGTGAGTTACATAATTTATAATCATAAATTTCAGTATTACAAATAATTCGTATTAACCTACAGGGTGGTACCGACATCTTTGTGCAAAAGCGCGGGAAAACAAATGAATATCCGCGCCCATTTTTTATTTTTTTTTAAACATATTTCTATCGTCCAAGGTCACATAAGTAAATGCCTTATACATAAATCATTACAAATTAATCAAATATATTATTTTCTATTAAAACACTCATTATAAAAGTGCAACCTTACAGTATATTATTTTAAAACCTTCATCTGCATCTACTCTTTTCTATACATATAATTAAAATAATAATATATATAAAATGCGCTCCTAAATTAAAGACTTAAAATCGAATTTGTTCCGCAAACACATAATTGTTATTTTATGCTTTTAACTGAGCTTTGATTGCTTTAGTTGGCATTTACTTTTCCCTAGAGACGTCATGATTGATTCAATCATGACTGTGCTCTATTGTAGTTCTTATACCAAAAGCCATGGGTGTTAAGTACCTATTTAAAAGCCATAAAGCTGTTCAAGTTACATAAACGATTTATAGACTTGATTTATTTTATTATTTTACTAATAAGTTTAAATATTACTAGGTACTTTAATTTCTTTTACATTATATCGGATATTACAATTTTATATTTGATACCTTATAACTTAATGCATTAATATTACAATATTTTTTCTTTATTATTAAGTTGATTTAATAATTACAATTTTAAAATTTTACTTTGAAATAAACAAAACAAACACAAAATTGCTAATGTTTAAGCATCACCCAATTGAAGCACATCAAAACATTTAGTAGTATTTCTTCATTTGTGGCAACTCTTATCCCACATACGAATTACTCACAATTGTTCATGTAAATAGATGATAAGTGATGTCTCATTAATAGCGTATATTCCGTAGAATTTCTTTTTCAATTTTCCCAGATTCCATTCAATATTAAAGTTTTAACGAATATGGACATTGCAGATAAACGTTGTAACACAACTATAAGTATTTCATACTGTGGAAACTTATAATTACGTAAATATGTACTGGAATAAATGATAATAATATGTTATATATTTAATCAAATATTTACAACAAAGCACTAAAAATATAAGAATGACTTTAAATTATAAGTTTCAAACGTTCTAACTTAGTCGTCACAAAGAGCTGTTAGAGAAAATTTGTTGCGTATAACCCAATTCGTGATGATCATTTATTCTCACAAAAGCTTTTCTGTTACTGTCCACAGAATTGTATGGAGTCTGAGTGTATAAAGTATTTATTGTATATTTAACTTTTATATCAAAGTTTTAAAAGTTTTGAGAAATGTTTAGTTACTATTTTTATTATTTTATTTTCGACTAAGCGCCAATATACCTATTACCTAATTGGAACGTCAGAAAACCTAGAAAACCCTAAACAACTAAAACCTAGTATAGTCAGTATTTTAAAAATGTCAATAAAACAATCCTGTTAAAACTTTATAGCTGAAAATTTTATGTTGCGGAAAACGACGAGCAATAAAAAGAACAGATTTTATTTTGCTCTTATTAAACACAGTGAATAATATCGTTAATACGTTAACATATAGTTTAACAAAATCATCATCTCCCTGTCCATTTCCCAATCACTCGGGGTCGGCGCAGTACATCTTCCGTACTGCTGATAGGATTTGGCAAAAGTTTTACGACCGGCCGCCTGCCTGACATCAACCCTCCTTGGGAATGCTATTGTTTATCGCAGACGTCTTGTATATATGCATATTCTATATTATTTTCTTTTGAAACATTTTTTATAGTATTACTTTAAGTTTAATGTAATTTTCTGATATATTTTAAAATAAATTTTGAAGACACAATAAATTTTGTTTTGACATTGTCAATTTTTTCTAAAAAAAAAACCAAATATAATTTTTATTTTAATGACATCTATCGAGAAATAACCAACGGTATATTATGAAAAACAATTCTGAGAGAATTAAGTCGATAATGTTTCTTTACATACCAAATTACTAACATCGCAACTACATAGCACGGTAATAACATTACCGTGTACATAGTTTCTTCATATCGCACTATCTCAAACTGTTTCTATTAATCATCTATTGTAGCTACAACTGTGAGAAAATTATAACCATAGATAATCTAAATTATTATTTAAGCACGCATTTTAAAAATTAGATCGTAAAAATTAACTAATATTATATTCTCTTCTATACATATATTAAATTGTACTAAGCCGAATCTGTACATAAAGTATTTTTTAGAAAATCTTATTGAAATAAACATTATTTTCGATACAGAGGCCGAATCTATAGTTTTTAGAATTTTTGTCTGTCTGTCTGTCTGTCTGTTACCGCATCACAGAAAAACCATCGGAGGGATTCTGTTGAAATTTGATATGGTGATAGCTGGTTATCCGTTTCAACATATAAGATACTTTTTACCGCGGGAAAATATCTCATTTCTGAGAAAAAATACAAAAACGACAATATAAGGGTATACTAATATGTAAAACCTAAGAATTTAGTTTTTGATCATCTGAACGCGGGCGGAGGCGCGGGCAATGCTAGTTGCTAAATATTAAACATTTTAGGTTATTTTTATAACTTTAAAAAAAAGTTGACTAAGCCAAGCAACCATGAAATACTATAGCTTCACCACTTTCTTAGTATATTATTATCTCAAGTAATGTTTTTGTCGGAACATAGCCGATTAGTTACAGAATGCTCAGATCCAATTCGTAACGGAGTGTTAGGACAAGCATAGAAAATCATAATGATTAGAAAAACCTATAAAAATCACTTTAAAGATAGTCATTAGAATAAGAAATCATATGAAAATTAAAATTTTACGTGTAGAAACAATAAAATTTCGTACGGTACCTATTAAAAGTTTGTATTAATTATAAAATAGTATGTATAAGTTACTAGCTGCGCATCTTTAAGCAACCGTGATAAAGTTATGACTACTTTATATGTTAGATGCTGTAAGTATAATAAGACAATATCGCATCAACGGCGAAGGATCGTAAAATTCTATAGGTATCTTAGCAAAATATTAAACTTCGTGAGAAAGCTTATAAAATTCATCGGCTAAATATTTAACCTTGCAATTTGCAAATTTGTTTAAAAATATGACTAAATTAGGTGAAAAATGAAAAACGGTAAACGAAGCTTTTCTAAGAAATATATCTTAACTAATTAAGCTTAACTTTATAAAATCCATAATAATTTCTTAGATTTACGCGAATATTTAAAATTTTAAATAAAGAAAATAATAAAAATAAGTCTATAACGCCAATGAGACGCCTTAAAGCTTAGTCTCATCCGTGACCATGATTGCTGTAAAGTGTAAAGCATTCGAAACGTAGGAAACCAAAAATCAAAATAAATCCGCGAAATAATCCGAAAAGATAGTAGTTTTGTTTACAAAATCTATTTATTCATCTTTAATATATTTAATTTGCATAAGTATTGAATTAATAGATGTGTAGTAATTTGACACTAATTATAACACAACACATTCTTCCACCACATATCCAGTACATATAATATGAAAACAACTAACCACTAGTGTGATAGAGTATACGCGTCTCTCGAGCGGCAATATGCGCGCGCCGCACCACACCGCCATGGCGGCACTGGATCTGCGCGGGAGTCACGCTCTAGCGACCACACCGACAACAATACAATCGTGAACTAGCATTTGCTCTGCACTGGAGGTCCCAATAGACGTCTGAGGCCCTCCAGATTCTAAGCTATTTGGACACGACTCTCACGATTTGAAATTGAAAAAAAATATGCGGATCATCAAATGTTCCAATGCAGAACGGAAAATGGGGTAAAAATAAAAATAAAAAGTCATTTGAGATATTTTAGGTCTTAAATAAATAGTAAAATCAACCAGATAAAAATTATATTACATAATAATTTTTCATACTGCCTTTGTATCACAGATATCATTACCTAAAAATTGGTCTCATCACCAATTCCATAGTGTATTATAGAAAATTGAATGAACGTTGTACACAAAAAGAACGCAATGAGCATCATTATAGAAAGATAATAATCTATACCGTTAGAAAGTGCAGTAAGGCCGGTACATAGAAGTCCAGACTCATCAAAATGAAATAAGGTTGTTATTGGCAAATAATCAATGGATTACAAAGTTCTCATACAACTTGACAGCTTTTAAGCCAATCTCGATCTTGATAGCCGACAGTTGCAGAGTCACGATCGAGATAATAAGTAACGCTCCTATTGCTCAGATTAATTGCTTCTAAACGTAAATATAGTATTTTTAATCTCATGAAAGTATAAATCGAAAACTTTCCAAGACCTACATAAAGTAAAAGATTGTATTAGAAATTACAAAAATTCTATAGGTAATTACATTTTCAATAATCTAACGTACCTACGTATATTATTATATCAGATAACTGATATCGTATACCGATGCAATTCAATTTCATGATTGCAATTCGTTTGACACAGTACTTGATCAAAATCAGTTATAGCTGGGGACCGTTACTTTTTATAAAAAGAGGCACTTATTTGTAGGGCGTCCAGACGGTTGATAGTTGTTTTGCCACAGTATGGCGAGCTCAAAGCCGCTAACATCGTGAACAAAGTTAATGTTAAAATTACCTAGAAGTATCTAGATATAGTTAGCACTAACTACGTAATTAATAGTTCGTTTTTAGTTCTTAATAGAAAACATATTTTACTGAG